GGTTGGGATGAGAGAAAGAAGGTTTGTGTGTGTGTGTGCGTAAGAAGAAGAAGAAGAAGAAGAAGAAGAAGAGATTGGGCAAATCTGCCCAACCAGAGGAAGAAAGAGTCGAAGCTCATAGAGAGAAAGGAGAGAGTGCTGGCGAATGGGGAGAAGAGAGAGAGGAGACTGGCCAATCAGAACAGAGAAAGGAGGAAAGGAGAGAGGGCGAGAAGCGGAGGAGAGAAGGAAGAAAAATGGGTCTTCACCTGCGACCCGTTTTGACCCGCGACACCCACACCCAAATTCCGACGATTTTCACCGGAATTCTCACAAATTGGATCAAGGTACCACTTCCAATCAACACCTAGGTCTTCCCTCTTCATGTTTCACCCCAAAAATCATGAAATTTCGCGGTGATTTAGCAAAAAACACCCACACGGGTGCCACGACTTTCTTGTTCAAAATTCGCCCAATTTCGAAGCAATTTCTTTCAATTGCCACCACCCATACACTTCTCTTGAGGCCTAGAACAAAGCCCAAGCATTGGTTGGGACGTCGGAGTTGATTTGAAGACGAATTGGAACTCACCCAATTCTAGGGTTCCGCACGGATTTTGGTGAAATTGGAGCTCTTCCAGGCCAAATTGGCCTTGGCCTCAAGTATAAAGTTTACTCTACTCATTGAGATCTTCAATTCTGTATTTTTTGAGAATTTTGGAAATAGTTGGATTTTCCGGCTGGCCAGGGCGGCCAACCGCTACCCGCGGTGGCCCGTGCCAATGGCCCGCCAATGTCATTCTTAGCATGTGTTTAAGGTTCTAGGTTCAGTTTTGATAATTGATGGACGTAAATTGAGTAATTGAACCTAAGTTCGTTTCGATTCGTGGTTAGGTCAAAATGTGAATTGACAATCCGACCGTTGGATCGTCACCAAACTTTGATACGTTGTAATACGTAATATTTGAGGATTATAGGAACTTATGGATCGGGAATCCGATTTATGGATCTTTCGGAATTGGAGTTGTAAGTTCATAAAATAGAATGTTAACCGTCACTTGGTTTTGGAAATTGACAGAGATCCGACCGTTGGATGGTAATGAAATTTTAGGATGTTGTCCTAGAGGTATATTGTGGACCTCTGGAAGTTATGGATTTGAAATCTGAGTTGCAGATCTTCCGGATCGAACTACGTAGTGACGTGTTTTATACAAGTTATATATTCTATCGATATGATTTCTGAGGTTGGATTTGATTATTGTTCTAGGAACCGATCGTCATGACGCCTTGATGTGTGGTGCTAGGGAATTGTTGGGCGAACTCCGGGTGAGTGGGCAGTATTTATGTTTATACCTATATACTATTGATATTTTTCCCAGAAATTGAGTTTAAATGAAATTAAGTTTTAAAATGCCATGCATGCATATTGTGAATTATATGAATTGATATTTGATGCATATATATATGTGAATTGGTGTTGTGGACGCACAGGTGAGTATCAGGTGAGTTTATGTTATTCATGTGAATTATTGATGATGTGAATTGTGTTGAGAGCTCATAACCTGCACCCTTGGTGTTAGTGCTTATAGTATTCACCGCACCGCACGCTCACCTTGGATCTTAAGTAGGTGTATGTCGTACAGACCATGGGTTCCAACATGCTAATCGTACATATCACTAGAGGTGGTTCCGACTAGTAGGTGACCTTAGATTATATGCACACATGATTGATGAGAGAAGCACTAGAGCGTATTATTTCACCATTCTTGTCGTACAGACTACTTCAGGTAGTTCCGACTTATGTGCAGAGTAGCGCCGTACAGGTCGTCGTGGTGACTCCGGCTGTATTGGATATTGAGCTATAGAATTAACCATACAGGACCAACTGCAGGGTCTCCGGTTGATTCATTATGTCACCTGTTATATTGATGCATCCATATTCTGTCATTGACATTATTGCATGGCATACTTGCTGGATTTTAGTAAAGATTAATGTTTTGAGAGATTTGAACAAATATTATGCTATTATGTTATTTTCTGGGAAAGTATATAGGTTTTACGGCGAGGGGTTAGAAATGTTTTAAATGAAATGTTTTCGAAAAACTTTGTTTTACTGACCCACTCAATTTTGTTTTACGCCCCTCCAGGTTCTTGATAGCAGAGCTTTGGTGGCCACGAGGAATCCAACGGTGTCCTGACAGAATTCACAAAAGTAGGACTCACCCTCGGGTGTTTCATCTTAGTAATTGTATTTTTTAAAGCTTCCGAACTGTGTAAATGGTTACGTCACTCTCACGTGACGGCCAGCATGCGTTCCTTCGGAACGGGATGTGTCATATTTAGTGGAGATATTAGTAATTAAACTATATTTTCTCTTCTTCCAATATGTTTTTTCGATCACAGTTTTTTTTTTTTTTTTTTTTTTTTGTTATGCAAACATTTAATATTATTTCTTTTTCCAAATGGTTTTTTTTTCCAAATAGTTGGTGATCAACATAAAAGCGCAATGTAATTTTTTCAAATTTTTTGGGAAATTATATTTCTTTTGTTTTTTGTTTTTTAAGTATAGTTGTTGACGAATTATTATTAAGTACAATACATTACGTATATATTATTTGCGGGTACATTTGAATTTACAAAAATCATTAATTGGTATGTTTATTTGCAATTTTGGTACGTTTGATTTTATACATATTGTTAATATTGGTACATTATTTTTATTTGGTACGTTTTATTTTGTACACATTGTGTATTGGTACGTTTATATTATTCTCAATCCTATTTTCCTTAACGTACTAAAAGAAAAACTTATTTCGGTACGTTTGATTTTGGAGGATTTAAAAATATTTTAAACTATTTTGAAAAGAAAATATCTTAAATCGTAGATAATTATTGCTAAATTGTGCATTATTGTGAAAATAATTTTGCATCTAACAAACTTTTTTTTTTTTTACAACTATTTCTAACAGAGGAGAGTGTAATCAAAAGACTAGATTATAGGAAATTTGTTACAATATAATGTGCATATAGCACCAAAATTTTGACCAAAAAAAAAAGTTTAATCAAATTACTAAAAGGCGTGGATGTTTGATCTAAAAAATTCAAAACTGAAGCACCTATATCAAAAGATTCCTTTTTTTTTTAATCATCGTATTAATAATTTATTATTTTGGCCCAAATATTTTCACTTCATTCAACCCCTTTCGGGCTTTTGCCAACGCTAGTATCGGAACTTAATGGAATTTAACATAATTAATGTCTCTCTAAACCGTGCACAGGAGAAGGACATAGACATGAAATGGCGTATAAATTTTTTTACAAGTAAAGACAGCAAGACCATCTGTTTAAACTAAATTTTGCAAACCATATAACATTATTGTTGATGATTGGATTATTACTTGAAGTGTTGACTAACGTACTTATTTTCTTTTGGTGACACGTCACATGATTTGCAAATTTAGTATAAAAAGTTGGCTTACCTAACATTACTTTTGTTGCCACTTATTACTACGGTCTAATGATATTCCTCTTCACTTGTAAGTAAGAGGTCTTATGTTTGATTCTCGCCAAAGACGAATTTGAACTCCATTATTGCTAGCTCATTGTGAGGCTAAACCCACCCCCTCTCATTTAATGTAAGAATATTATTTGTTTAGAAATACATTACTTTTGTATTCTATGATATTGTATTATTGAAACAACCAAATCTAAAATCTCCCCTAGCCTTGAATTTCAAGGTTTCATACTTGAATGGAGCATCTAAGAGCATCTACAAAAGAGATGTTAAAATGTTCATATAAGTTATAATAGTTAAAAAAAAAAAGGACCACACTAATTATTAATGATTTTTTATTAATTATTATTGATTCAATCATTATTATAATTAATGTTGTTGTTCACCATTGCATTTGTTTATATCCTGCCTCTGCGTGTTTACGCACCCGTAATCGGAATGAAACTTAGGAATCCGATTCCGATTACATATAATTCTTATGTTTACTACGATTTGGAGGAATCAACAGTGTGTGGGACTCACACAAAAAATGGAATTCAATTCCTAAAATTGGAGGAATTGGACTCCCTCTATGAGTGAGGTATTTGGATTCCTGGATGGTGAAGGAATCAGGAATGCACTCTACTTTCCTATTATGCCATCTTATTCATAGATGCTTCAGCTTGGCGTTGGAGGAAGACAACAAGATGGCGATCGGAGTGCTCGGAGCGTTGCTTCCGCTGATGCATGCACTCATGAGGGTGGAGAGTGAGTGGACGCCCAATGACTCGTTAAGCAACACAACAAGGTGCCAACTCTGTTGGCTAGGTTCTTAAAATGTTAATTTTTTTTTCTCCAGGGAAGATGAATTTGGCTAGGTTAAAAGCAAGAAGCCGTGCTGAGGAGGTGGATGAGGACAACTGTGGATAAAGACAACTGTGGGTTTAAATGCCCTTCGGAAACTGTTCTTCTTGATCCTAGATGGGGTTGTTTATTTAGTATCCTTCAAGTCCCTGCGATTGATGTATTGTATATAGGAATGCAATTTGGAACTTCGATAAGGAATTGAATGCAATGGGAGTGGTTGTTGATCCTCCTGGAACGATTAAGATGTTTGCTGGTTGCATTAGAGAACTAAGGCAAACTATGTTGTTACAGTGCTATGAACTGGAGTGGTTGAAAACACGGCATGGTTACAAGACTCCTGTTGAAACAAAAAAGGGCATTTTAGTAATCATATTAATTCTTATTCCGATTCAACTGAATTAGTAAACAACTTCTACAAACTCAGGTTTATTTCTATTCCAATTTTTGAACATTTAAGTAAACAGCTTCAACAGGAATTCGATTCTGATTCCTCTTCATTTCAATTTCTCCTCAATTCAATTCCTCCCCAATCCAATTCCTCCAATTTTGATCATGAACGAGTTAGTGTTTTCAATCAAGCTAAGGTGAACAGTCTTCTTTTGTTAGAAAATAGTCAACATCACACATAGCCTGTAAAATTAAAATCTGTTCAAAATTTGACACCTTATTAAATGCTCTAATTGTCATAATCCCTAGATTTATCCAATCATACCTCAAACCAAAACCAAGTGACAAGTCCCAAAGCAAACCGTATCGCCTACAAGTCCGGCACCACCGAACCACCGATTGCACCGGATAAGGACTCTCACCATTACCAGTCCCCTTCCCCCGTGGAAACATTCAACCAAATGCACAGAGTTGCCCTCCCCAAATATCCCGCTCTCAAAATTGTTGCAGATTTATCTAAGCTCCTACACTTTCGATCAAACCCAAAAATCACATTGAGTTAAACATAATTACCTACATTACGCGCCAATTTTACCAAAATGTCACAATTCGACCCCTACACCCACCTCCACATAGTACACGACCCCGCCACCGACACCCTCACCCGCCCCGCCGCCGCCACTATACCCGCCAACCCGGACCCCGCCCCAGGCGACCCGGTCGTCTCTAAAGACGTGACACTCAACCGGAAACCAAAACCTGGATCCGGATCTTCCGACCCGCCAAGCTTCCCTCCAACGACAACACCGTGGCCCGCCTCCCCCTCATCATCTACTTCCACCACGGCGCCTGGATATTCCTCTCCGCCGCCGACTCCACCGCGCACACTAACTGCTCTCAGATCACCTCCGAAATTCCCGCCATCATCGTCTCCGTCAACTACCGCCTGGCGCCCGAAACCCGGCTCCCGGGCCAGTACCATGACGCCATCGACGCAATCAACTGGGTCAGGGCCCAGGCCCAGGACCCGAAAGGCGAGACCTGGATCCGAGACTACGCCGACGTATCCAGGTGCTATCTCTACGGTTGCGGATGCGGGGGCAACATCGTCTTTTTCTCCGGATTAAAAGCGTACCAGCTCCAGCTAGAGCCGTTGAAGATCTCCGGGATTATTATGAACCAGCCGATGTTTGGTGGGGTCCAGCGGACTAAGTCGGAGCTGCGATTGGCTGTGGACCAACTGTTGCCTTTGCCTGCGCTCGACCTCATGTGGGACCTCGCGCTGCCGAAATCAACAGACAGGAACCATCGGTACTGTAATCCGATGGCGGATGGGGCCCACAAGGCGATGATCAAAGGGCTGGGGCGGTTTTTGGTGATTGGGTTCGGTGGGGACCCGATGGTCGACCGGCAGCAGGAGTTTGTGACGATGCTGGTGGGTTGTGGGGTCAGGGTTGATGCGCGGTTCGATGACGTGGGGTTCCATAATATTGACTTCGTTGACACCAGGCGGGCTGCTGCCGTTTTGAACATTGTCAAGGAGTTTATCATCTAATTTTTTATTTAATTATATGATCAAGAGTGTAAATTTCGGCTTTGTTCCTTCTTGATTTTTAATGTTGTGCAGAATAGTTGTTGATGATTTTGTACTGATTTGTTATACCAAAATATCAAATAGCATACCCAAACCGGCGATTGATGTATTTGGGTCGGTTGAAGGGACATTCAGCCGGTTTGCTCCAACTTTTCTCTCCCTACTCATCGTGACCACCATGAAACACCGCCACCTCGAAGCCGAGACCCAAACACCGACATCTATTTCAACGACTCTCTTCGTTTTTTCTCCATCTCGCGCCGCATTAGAAGACTATTGTGGTTGTTGTTGTTGTTGTTGTTGTTGTTGTTATGTGTGACTTGTGAATAGTGGAGAATAGTTGATGATCGATGTAGAAAATCAATTGCATGGTCAATGTCCATTGAAAGTTGTATATGGGATGACACAGATCACAAGTTGTATAAGATGATCATAACTTCACAAGTGACAATGGGTATAACATTAAGTTATAGTGAGTGAGGTGTGTAGAGGAGCGTTTGAACATTTTTTCGTTTTTAATTTTTTAATTTTTTAATTTTTTTATAAAAAGCAGATAATCGGTGGTGAATCATGGTTATCCACCCCTTTCAGGTTCGGAGGAGGCTAGTTGGGAAGTTCACCCTTCCCGTGGCCATGTTGGATATATGTCAACAATCCACAATAAAATAAATATGCTAATAATAAATATGAATAAATATATTCCAGATACTCAATAAGATGAAATATTAATTAAGCAGAGTAACAAAAGATCGAGGCTTGCGTACCGCAATATTCTTGAAACAGAAATTTCGCCCCTACTCAGTGCTTGTAATTCTACGGACGTTTGCTTCACCAGGATTTAACGATCTAAGTCAGAAATTCCAGCACCGGAAAATTGACTTCTGGCGAATATTAATGTGGTTCTCTCAGAAAGGATGTTTATGATTGCAAGAGAAGATTTATGATTTTTTCTGTGTTCTAAATGCCATGCAGATAGATGTATATATAATGTGAGTATACCTATTCGCAACAGGTATAAGGAAGGGATGCATCTGTTGGGAGACATCTGCTGAAAATGGTGTTTTTGTCTGCGTTCTCACACTTCAGACTTCATCTGAAAAGATGAGTCTGTTGGTAAAAATAATTAATTAATTTAAAATATATTAATTATATATTAATTACCAATTAATTAGTACACCCCAAAGCCCAACCCCAAGGGTGAGCCCAATTTTAGTCTCCAGACCTATTACTTCAATCACTTTCTATAAAGGACAAAGCCTTATAAAGTGATAAAATCTTTTGGAAATGGCCAATGTGGAACAAAGAAATTTCTACTCAAACTACTCAAATTTCCAACAATACCCCACATTTGAGTTGAAATTTCATTCAAACTCTAACAGGCTACGATCAAGCATATTTACAATTTACAAAGTATCGAACCCTTTGAAAAAAAATAAAAAATAAAAGTATCGAACCCAAACTTCCTTTTTTTTTCCTTTAGAGAGATGTTGTTCGCACTTTTCCACTGGTCACTTGTCGTGGTTGTGCGTTTGAACAATTGGAGGATAGAAAGGTCTTTAGCATTGTGGTTGATGGGGAGCTCAAGTACATGTCAAAAGGGCTTATATAAGCCAGTCAACACTTTTGGGGTGTTTCAAAGGAAGTAGGATTATCTTTTCTCCTATTCTCATCCCTTTTCCTCCCCTCCTCTCACACTTTGTTTTTGGTCTTATTGTCTCTATAAAAACAAAACAATATAAGATATTGACGTGGTTTAATCGTAACCGTTCATGCAAGAGGGGAGAGAATGGGAGAGAGTTTGGATGGATCTTGTGTATCTTTTGTAATCGAGGCAAATCCGTTTGTAATTATTCTCTCCTAATTGGGATAGGACTAGGTTGTATATTATACCTCACTTTGTGATGAACGAAATACAATTCAAAGCATTATTTTCTTGACACCAGAGCCAGGTTGTAAAAAACAAGAAAAAAAAAACCCTAGCTATGTGCGGCCCAGCCGTGGTTGATAATACTCTTTTTTTATTAGCGAGCAACTATCGTCGTTGTTGTCTCTTGACCAGCGAGCGACCGTAGTTGTTGTTCTCTTTCTTTGAATTCGAAAGGATCAGCAAGCAGCAGTTGTTGTTGTTGTTATCCATTTTGTTGAATCCAGTCTCGATCAGCCACCTAGACTTCCACTCCTTGCTCTGCAGAATCCCACCGACAACAGTAGTTTTCATCCTACCTTTGCACGATATCACTGTCAGCTAGTGGCGAAGCCAGATATTATCGAGGAGAAGGGTAAAATTTAAAAAGGCAAAAGGTCCAAAAACATTTAGGCATTAAAATCCTTTTAGATAGTAAACAATCGTATTACAGACTACATGTAATTGCCTACCAATTCATTGACAAACTAAAATCCACAAAAATCCATTGCCAAATTGTAGAATAGAAAATATCGGCCTTCTTTTGTAAGCAGCATTTCATTGTACTTCTTTCATCAACTGACCGAATTGTAGAGTAATCTTATATTTATCCACCTCCAAGAGTTCACCTCTATGTAGCTTCACCACTACTATCAACAGTAATTCTCATTCATGGTTAGTGACGCTGAGGTTAAGTCAGTTGCTCCTGTTGTGATGCAGTGTGCAAATCAAACAACTCGAATTTGAACATTTGTATGTTTCTTGATGAGAGGAATTATGATTTGTGGGCTCCTCTCATCCAAACTCATATTGCAGGAAGAAAAAAATGGTTTATCTTCGTGGGTCTATCAAGGCTCCAGAAGAGGACAACCCTAAGTATGATGATTGGTTCTCTGAAGATCAAAAAATAAAGAGTTGGTTACTGTCATCCATGAAACTGGAGATTATGAAATGATATATTTGTTTACCCACTGGAAAAGGAATTTAGGATTCGTTGAAGATACCCTTAGCCATAAGGTGCCACGCCTTCATTAGCATGGCCACTCCTTAGCTACCTACTTTGGAGAATTGACGGAAATCTTCCAGGAATTGGAGCACTTTAATAAAGTGGCTATGGAGTGTGCCAACGACATCAATGTTTACAAGAATATTAAACCTGGCTCTGATACCACTAATAGAAAACGAGGATACAAAAAATGGCGTAGGAATGGGAAGGTTTTGTTGCATGCCAATATTTCTGTTATTGAACCCCCAATATCCCCTTTCTAGTCCCGTTGGAACTCCCCTTCCTTTAGAGGATGTTATGGCTGTGTCAAATCCGTTTGAAGCCCTTGAATTTTTGGAGATTGTCTTTGACTCTGATATTTAGGCCATTGCCTATCCGGATACATCTCATTGGCCTAACTAAATTTCGGGTAAGGATATTGATGCTCTCCCGTCCCAATGATTTCACCATAAGAAGAAGAAAAGGAAGAATAATAGAAGTAAAGGTACATCTAAGGCTAGTGGTAAGGGTTGTAGTGCCCAGGACCGATATGGTTCAAACTCAAATGATTAATCTCACTTGTTGGAATGTTAGGGTGCTTAATGGGCTTCCTATGCAACTTGAGGTTCGTAATTTCATCAATATGAATAAGCTTTACTTGGTTGTTATGGTTGAGACTATAGTACGTGTGAATAATATTGATGCTATTGCTCAATTTGTCTTTCATAATTGGATGACCATCAACAATTACAACTGCCATGTTAATGGCAGAATATTGGTGGGTTAACATCCTACCATTCTTCATGTTTCTCACTTGGCGGAGATTGATCAAGTTATCCATTATCAGATTCAAATTCTTCTAACGGGGCAAAATTTTTATGGTTCATTTGTTTACGACTTCAATGATGAAAATCTTCGCAGGGCTTTTTAGGCTAACCTTTGCTCTTTTAGGCACTCCATTGGTGATGCCCCTTGGATTGTCCTTGGTGACTTTAATGTTGTTCGATCCACTGGAGAAATTGATGGGGGCTCTAATTTGAGGTCTAATGTTATTATTGGGTTTGGGGATTGTTTACTTGATGTGGACCTTGATGATTTGAGATTCTCTGGTTAACTCCTTACTTGGTGCAATAAGTAATTCAATGGCATGGTTATCTATCGTAAGTTGAATCGTGTCCTTGTCAACATCGGTTGCTTATCTATGTTTCCCAATAGCTCTACTATTTTTTTTCCTCCTAGTGCCTCTGATCACTACCTAGTGGTGGTTTATGTGGGTCTTTCTCAAACTCAAAGAAAGTCACCTTTTAAATTCTTCAATTTCTATGCACCATGATAATTTTTTAGCTATTGTTGCACAAGCTTTTATACTCATATCCAAGGTTGCCATCAATTCTAGGTAGGAAAGAAGCTAAGGCTTGTTAAGGCTGAGTTGAAAAAGTTAAATTGTACTCCTTCCCTTCATGTCTCTCTTACAGTTAAGAACTCTAAGGCGACTAATGATTGTTGCCAGGTTAGTTTAGCGTCTATGCATACTAACTTGTCTTTAGCAGAGTTGGAGAAAACCTTATTGAAGAACTACTCTGGTTCCCTTATAATGGATGAGAGCTTTGTTAAGCGAAAGTCTCGTGTCTAATGGATGTCTAACGGCGATTTGAACACCATTTTTTTCTACAATTCTATTAAGAGGTGGGCTAACCGAAACCGTATTGCCACTATTTGTAGAAGTGATGGGTCTATTACTACTGTTGAAATGGAGATCAAAGATGAAGCTGTGGGTTTTTTCAAAGTCTTATTGGCAGTGATTTTGCTATTCCGACCTCTGAAGTCAATCTTGCTGCTTGTAACCTTGTCACAAGTCCTATTTCTTCTGATATGGCTGCTGCTATGGTAAAAAAGGTTTCTGGTGAAGAAAGTCATAAGGCTTGTTTCAGTTTGAAGCCTAATAAAGCCCCAGCTTTGGATGGCATTAATGCCATTTTCTTTCAAAAAGCTTGGCCTATAATTGGTGATCAAAATATTCTCGCAGTCCAGGAATTCTTCAACTCCAACCAGTTACTTCAAGAGCTTAACACCATTATAATTATCCTTGTGCCTAAATCCCTAACCCTTCTTCCATGGGGGATTTTCG